TAAAAAGGAAACAATTTTTTTTCTTTTTAGTAAAAGAAAACACCGATGATCCAGATTTTCTCGTTGACCCGAAATATCAGTTAGTGTCAGAAACACCACGATATATATCATAGTTATTTAACCCGGACCGACCCGGTCGGGTCGACCCGGGAACCGATAATCGGTCATATAACCGGTCTGGTTGTAGCAACGGATCGACCATGCATCAGAATCAGTGCGACCGGTCTGATCCGGTCCGACCCGGTCGGTTTTCATAGAAAATCGGTGACCCGGTCGATTAACCGGTGACCCGGTCGATTAACCGGTGACCCGGCCTGGTCTAAAAAAAAAAGAATTCCAATTTTTTTTCAAAAAAAATCATAATGGACATATTTGAATATTTTTTTGCTTATTGACTTACATAAGTTATGTACCTACAACACTAATATTATCTCAATTATGTACTATGCAAAAAAAATTGAATTAATTTATAGTTAGACATGTCGCTTTCTGAACCTAAAGTCTCATATCACGATTATTATATTTTTGTTTGATCTTTTATTAGATAATAATATGTGATTTATTATTTTTTATATTAAAATATTTGATTTTTTTATCATTTTTTTTAGATATTTGAGTATGTTTATAATTTTTTAAAATAAATTATAAAATTACATATAATTACCAGGTCATGCGATTGAACCAGTGACTCACTGGTTGAACCAGTGACCGAGTGACTCAGTACCTCGATCAGGTCAATGACCGGGCCGATTTTATTAACATTGGTATATATAGCTAAATATATACTATCATGTTTAAGTTGAAACCAAAAAGAAATTTTTTTAAACACCACTGTATATATAGCTAAATATACTACAAAATTTCAATTGCAGCTAAACAATTATCGATAGCCTTGTTTTTTAGCTTGCACAAGGAGAAATTACTCCCATTGAAATTTTCAATCTCAAATTTTGTCATCATGGTGTTGATAATACTCTGAATGTTGACTGTATCGGATTACACTATTTGACCATGAATAGTATTGTATACGTAAACAGTAACATACATACAAAATAGAACCGTATACTAGAACAAATCTAGTATTTGTTAATAATATTGCAAAAGTATATAACCACACGTGTGAAAACTAACAGTGAACAATACTGCAACATGAATAGTAACTAGTAACCGAATAGCTCTGATACCACTATTAGGTAACAGAGTATCATACAGCTAAAACAGAGTTGAGACAAATTAAAATTTCAAGACACTGTTAACCACATAATTGGCCAGGTAAGTGTAAACCAGTGGGAGTCTCTTCGTTCTATGCAATGGTGACTAATTAAATAATCACTCACTTTCCTATACATGAACAGTGTAATTAACTTTATCTTGATTCCACCGGTCAAGATAGCAACAAGTATGCCAATTGAAGTGACACACAAGATTTACGTGAAAAATCCAATTTAGAAAAAATCACGGGCAAGATCAAAGAAGATTTTCACTATGTAGAAGAAATTACAATCTCTCTAAATATAAGGAGAGACCAATATCACACTCTCTCATACTAGAAGAACTCACCTCATTCGAAGTAACACTCAAAAGACACTTGGGAGGCGTTTGGTTCAAGACTTTGAAATGGTTTCCTATGCATATGACATTGGCAATCTATGACATCCATGTTTGGTACATAGTTTCAAAATATTTCCACATCCATTGTATTTGCACAGCAATTTAGAAAAGATCGTGAAAAGAAAGCCTAATTCACTATTGTGAAAGACAAGTTGGGCATGGTATTGTGCATTTAGCCGGCTAAATGGAAGCATATGCAACCAAAAGTAGACCAAAATTATTATGGGGTTACTTTTGTGTTGTGTTGTCATGTGCAATGACCACTTATTTTAATATTAAAAAATTATTATGGGGTTACTTTTGTAATTTTATACCATTTACATATCAATATTTTATCCTCAACCAAACATAAATTTCAAAAACTTTAATCAATTTGCCTAGTAATATTTGACCTAACTAAACAACTTTTTTTTTAATTTTCCTACCTAACTCACTTTTTCTGCAGATACCGGATAATTACATTTTTCTGGTAAAAAAAAAATTCACCTGAACCTAACGTCCCCTTGATATTTATCTCTCTAAATAGATATCCTAAACATAGAGAAATATTTGTTTACAAATTTTTTTTTATAAAATTTTATAAATTACGTTATGTATTCTCGGAAGTACATAGTATAACTTAGTGTACTTCTGAAAGTAGATAATATAATTTAAAAAAAAATGTAAATATAACTCTCTCCTAAACACTATTGAACTGGGATTTTTTTGGGATGCATTAAACCATTGCCACGGTGCCTGTTTATATGCAACAGAAATGAGAACATTTTCGTCCATTTCCTATGGGCATTGCAGTCTGCTTGAGCCTCCAGAGGAATAGTATTCCCTACGCAAAATTATGCTCCAAAGCCACCGTCCAATGAGCCATCAAATGAATAGTTGAGCATGTGCAACAAGTGCACCATCCACCATCCAAATACAGCCACAAAAGTGGCTTTTTCTACTGCTTGGTTTTATCTTCTGGGCTCGAGCACTTGGGTTCTTCCTCATATGGCGAGCAAAATTAGAACCAACCACCTTGGCAAAGTTAATTAATTAGGTTCACGCATGGCATTGAAACTTCATTTAATAAACAGTATATTTATATCTTCAAATAGGATTTTCTGGGTTCCATGATGTTTAAAAAGATTCAAATTGCTAAGGTAATCCTTAAATTTTATGGAAGCGCAATAATGTTTTAACGTACGTTTTTCACCTCAATTTAGTGATTTACTTAAGCTTAAGTCGATTTATATAAAGTCCACATCACCATATATCATGTTTAATAAAAAATTGTCTTTTACAAATGACCAACCAGCATGTGAGTTACTATGTTAAAAAATTGAACCAATCCTGCATGTTTTTATTTTCCTTCTTTATGAAAAAAAATACAAGTCTTATCTTATAGGAGACATATTATTTCACATACAAAAGTTTTAGGGCTCATTCTTTAAAAATAAATAAAGGGCTTTATACGAAGATAATTTTTACAACTGAGAAAAGAAAATTGGGCCCTACCATTTTTAGAAAGAAAAAAGAATTAGCTATTTTTTTTATGTGAAAATGGCAAGAGAAAATGGATTTTTTTAGTGATAGGAGAAATTTTATACCCATAAACAAATATTAACATAATTTTGATATATAAGTAGGAGGGATATGTTATCTCGTGTAACATGAGAAAAACATATTCCTTATAAAGAAAACCCAATAAATTGAAATGACATGGTGTAAAAGTATTGCACTAATTTATTCATTTATTTGGTAATATTGCATTAAAGTTTTAATGTTCAAATATATTACTTCTATTACTTATTTTTCTTTGTTTGGTTAACTTTTATCCAATATCATATTTTATTTATTTAAGAAAATTCTTGTATTACTAGAGCAGACGCACACGACACACCACATTTATATATTTTTTTCCCAATACTATTCCCAACGTTTTGAAATTGAAAAGATATATAAAAAGATTCATAGAAACTGGCAAAAAAATTAGAGAGAATTTTTAAACTTTTAACATGAACATACATTTTAAGAGTTTTTTGAAACAGAAAATTTGAGTATAGAAATTTAATATTTTTTTGGCGTAAAATGAAGAAAAAATGTATCTTTTTTTTCTTTGGTTGTCTAAAAGAATATTAGAGCGAGTATTTTTTCTTGGTATTTTATTGAATTGATTTAAGTTTTTTAGGCGAAACATTAAAATTCTTATCAGAGTACATTTAAGAAAAATATCTTTTTAACAGAGTATCTTTCTGAATAGCTTAAGAAAAATATTTTAACAGAGTACAAGTTGTTCAATTAACTTATGGAACATAATGAATTATGTATATGTAATTTGTATTTTGAGTGCATATATATGGCTTCAAGTTCAATCTAAAATATTCTCTTTAATTTCTGGATTATTTAAACTGAGTCCTCAACGTGGACCATCCGATTTAATAGGATGCAATTTCTATCCTCCAACCCATAATAGGCCGGTCCATGAATTATGTTTCATTTCAATAAATAAATCTTTATATAATACTATTAGAAAAAAAATATGTGTCCTTTTAAATTATATAAACTCAGATCATTTTTAGAGATAGATAAATATAAAGAGGTGTGACTACACTTTTATTTTTTAGTGAGACTCATATCTCTTTGTGTCTACATCTCTCTTAAAAGGAACTATTATATTATTTAAAAAGACATATATTTATCCAATACTAATAATACATAATCTCTAACATGAGGTGGATTGGATTAAGATAAAATATTTTAATTGAATTTTCATATAAATAAAAAATGTTAATAGATGTTAAATTAGGTATTATACATTCAATATCATGTATCATTTGTATATTATCATCATAAAATTTGTTAGTTTTGTTTTTCATAAATACATTAAATTCTATTAGTTTCTCTCTCATATCTCTTCCGATTACTTTGTTTTTCTGGAATGTGGCCCCCTCCCTCCCAAAAAAAAAAAACCTATCTTCTTACTGAAACAACAGTGTGCTAGGTTATGTTATATGGTTATAGAGTTTGCATTTATCATTTAACAATTTAATATGATCACAAAAAATTTCTTACACATAATATTTTATGAAACTCGCATGTTTTAAAAAAAAAAAAAGCAAATCTCTATAAATATAACAAAATAATTTTTTCTATAACATAACTCTTGTAAAATTCGTACTTGTGCGAGGAAAGATGATACTAACTGCGCCGAGCATTTTCTCTTTTTTATGAATGGGATTATCGTGGACGAAAATAAAATATGACATATAATACAGCCACGTATTTAAAACTTAGAGGAGGGTAGAGAAGAAATCCAGCAAATAAAAACATCCAATGAATTGAAGGGCAAATATGACATTTTAAGGGCACTCGCAAAACCAAGTAGCTGAGAAGAAAGAAAGAGCTGAAGAGAAGAGAAGAGAGGAAGTTAAGGTGTAACGTTAACAAAATAACAATGTTTTTTTGAGAGCTGAGAACGGAGAGAATCGATCCTTCTTCGTATTGTTTATTCCGATCTTTCATTTTCATCACACCGTTTTCTCTACACGGAGATTGAACACAACAGAAACAGAATCGGTTCTACAAACTTAATCTACCTGATCTAGTGAAATGGCTTGGAGGCATTTGATAACGCAGGTCAGTTATTTCATCAATCAAACTGGCACGCCATCGATTTTTACCTAACCTTTTTGCCTTTTCTTCCTATTATTTGGAGAACCCTAAATTAGGTTTTTTTTATTTATATTTTTGTTGGGGTGGGGGTGGGATAGGAGGGGAAGGGAATAGTCTTCTTTAGTTTCACAATTATTCTCCTTTATCTAATTTCATAGAGTGATTTTTTGAATGGGTCATGGGTCTTCCTATTATTCTCCTTTTTGCTTTTGTTTGGGTTTTGATTCAGGATCATTTGTAGAGAAGATATTACTGTAAAGGTTTATAATCTCAATTGAGTGTTATAATTCTTTATCGGAGGGTAGTATAAGAATTTTGTTTCATTGGAGACATAGGAAACACTTGTCTTGGTGTTTCAGAGTTTGTCTTATGGGATAAGCTTCTTTGAGTAATTGGAAAATAAGGAGGGCAGTGTTTGTGTTTTTTTCTTTTTTTAAAAAAAAAAGAAATAAAGAAATAAAGGTTTTGATTTTCTCTCATTGATGCTTGGTAGAGGGTGGAAAATCACTTTTATGTTATAGGAGTGCAGACCTGTTACTCTACTCTATTAACCATCCCACAACTTGTCCACCCTCTACATTATTATGAAACACAAAGATTGTCAAGACCATAGATCTCTGCCGAAGATTGCTTCTATATTGATTGCAGCTTGTTAGGTTATCTGGTCACTTGGGTTAGGGGTTGTTTTGAATTCGAAATGGAGGTAAGGTTGAGGTTTGATTTATGGAAGGGTGTCATCATTGAGCTGCTGGTTGTTACTTATAAGAGTTCATCTTTTCTTGTTTTGCTTCTTAGGGAAAGAGTATTTGTTATGGAGAACTAGTTGACGTTAAAATTGAAATTTGTTTTGGTGTTGTACTTATATTGGCTATCTTTGAAGACACCAACAATACCAAAATATTATTATGGACTTTGTCTCGCAATGGAGGGCAGTTGCAAAATTATTTTCGTTTTGTTCGTGAAACTGGCTCTCTTTGCAAATATACATGGGTAAGGCTGTGTACAAGAATTGCCCTCACCCCTCCCTCGCTATTTGGGGTTTAATGGGGAGCGGTATCTTTGTTTGTGAAACTGGCAGACATGTAAACTTACATGCCCATATCCATAGGTTGTGGAAAGATTGCATATATTTGAAATAATGGGATTATAGAACCATTGGTTGCTAGTTGCTAGGGTCATGTAAGTTAAGCATGATGTATGCATTGATTGCATTCTTGATGTGGTTTATATGTATCTATGATCTGTATCTTTTATTACTTTTATTTGTCATTTAATTTTATAATTTATTTTTACAGGTTGCACGACATCAATCAGAATTTGGGCAGGTCAAAAATTTGTTGGCTAGAAGCTATTTATTGGTTAATAAGTTTGAAGGCCGTACAAGTATAAATCTCTATTTCCTGTAGCACGCATCAGTTTATGTGTTTCTATAAGTATTTGTTTTTATTTCTCATCTTTATAGTAGCTTTATTTTTGTGAGTTATGTTACTTTGGCATTTAACTTTTGAAAACTTGTTTTGTTGTAGAATTCTATGGATTTTTTTTGTTCAACTTGTTAATAATTATGCCTCTCTTCTGTGTTTATATTTGAAGTACATGGGAAACAATTAACTAATGTTTGTTGCACTTACTTTCAAATTTCGGTAGGGAATAGGCTTTTTTGCTCCCAGGAGAGATTCCAGTCCAGCTATGTTGGCAGTCTGGCCCGTCGAGTACGTGATGCAGATGAAGCCAGTGAAGTTGCTCATCTTAAAGAACTCTACCATCGAAATGATCCTGAAGCTGTGATTAGAGCATTTGAAAGTCAGCCATCTCTGCATACTAATTCTGCAGCACTTTCTGAATATGTTAAAGCATTAGTGAAAGTTGATAGGCTGGATGAAAGTGAATTACTGAAGACTTTGCGAAGAGGTGACTATATGGCTAGATCTGGTCATTTCCTTTTTACTGTATCTGCATATGGTTGTGCTTTGATCTTGTCAACATTGGCTTGCTGACCTGTTAACCTGCTCAAGGAAATAAGGTTTTGTTTTCCCAAGCAGGATTTCAGACATATGCTCACAAAGTATTGCAATTTTGATTAGAAGGCTGGGTTAATTACTACTCTGTCTGAAGAAAGTGCTTTTTCCTGGTTGTGCCCCTAAGTAAAAAGCCTTAACTTTCTGAGTGTTAGGATTTAGGCTTCAACGTTCTTCTAAATGCATTTGGGATAGTCTCTCTTTTTTTCTTTTTTTTTATTTGAATTGGAATACTTTATCTTCTCTCATTTACTGTGAATTCATAGATGATCTATATTCTGAGGGAAATCTTTCAGCACCTTTTTCTTTTCTGGATAAAATTATGGCATCAATATTTTTATTGAAATAGTAGAATTAATTGGTATATATTTTGGTCCCTGATCTTGTTTTCCCTCAGACCAGGGAAAAACTTTGTCTAGAATAGTTTGAGTAAATTATTTTGTTTGCTTATTGCCAACAGCCCATTTATCTGGTGGCATTGATTGTAATCTTTTGTTGGGGATTATGAAGTTCAATTAATGTCTTCCACTATGAATTTTAAGAAAAAAATCTTACTTCTATCTGTGCTGAGCCTTCAATCACAATCATGAAGTCTCTTTTTTACTTTTATTTAGTTCTAGGACAAGTATGATATCATAAGACTTAATCAAATGAGACAATAAAATGATGGAAGACTGCAAGCCAAGATCTTATGTAGAGCTATGTTGGAATCTTCAAAAATTCAAAATTGGCATTTCAATTGTGTGCTTGTCTAAAACGTGTTATTCCTCTTTTCAATCATCTTTTTGAACATTTTCTTCTTTAGCATATTTTACATACTAGAACTTATAAAAAGAGGTGTCTGGATTTTCAGGTATTTCTGATTCGGTGAGGGAGGAAGAAAGTATAGGTGGCTTTTCTGCTCTTAGAAATGTGGGAAAATCTACAAAAAACGGAATTCTTGGAACTGCTAGTGCTCCTATTCATATGGTGACTGCAGAAGGTGGGAATTTTAAAGAGCAGCTATGGCGAACAATTAGGTCTGTTGTTGTGGTCTTTCTCTTGATTTCTGGTGTAGGAGCACTCATTGAGGATAAAGGAATTAGTAAAGGTATTGCCTTGTCTTTGTAACTAATGATTTGCTCAGATTAATTCATTTTTGAATCTGAATTTGATGGGCACTTTCTCTGCTCTTTGCTTTTCACCTTTTCTAGGACTTGGTATGAATGAAGAAGTTAAGCCCACTATGGAGTCAAGTACCAAATTTAATGATGTAAAAGGCGTTGATGAGGCAAAGGCTGAGCTGGAAGAAATTGTTCACTACCTCCGAGATCCTAAGGTAGAAATTGATGAGTCAAGTACTAAATTTCTGCAGCTTCTGCACCACTTGAGGGTTCATTCTTTTTCTATTTTTCTGCCTAGTATGTGTTCTAGGCTCTCCAATCCATGAATCCTTGTAAGCAGCTGCCCAATTTAGAGTATCATTATCTTCAACAACCAACACATTCCCAGCATCATTATTATCATCATCCATCTCTCCAACTAGTCACTCATTAGACTCATCAGTGTCATTGAGTGAGGTTGGGTCAATTTCTACCCTAAGATTGTATCTTTGCTTGAGTGCTTGATTATATTTCACATTAACCAAGTTATGCAATCTCTTATACTCAAGCCTATTTCTCTTCTTTGAATGAATATGCAACATTAATACAATGAACAAGTGTTAATAATTCTTAGTTTCTTACTATAACAAAGTACCAGGCTTGATCATTAATACAATGAACAAGTGTTAATGAAAGAAAAATGATAATTGCTTAAACACACTCCAGTTACATTCACATCCGGATGCATTGCATGTCAAGCTCAAAATCTTGATAGTTAGTTGCTTCAAATTTGGAGCTGGATTTCCACGTTGAGCTACAAAACCAATATCTCATAACCGTGTGACTTGTAATTTAAAAGTTTAAAGAAGAACTAGAATTTGTATTCTTAATTTCTCACCAGGAGCACTGGTTTGACTTCATGATTTTGCAAAGTCAGCTCCAAAGAGACCACTAGCAGCCTTATAAATTGGTAGCTCTATTAGTATCTTTAGTTGCACCTCTCAGACTTGGCACCAACCTCTTGATGCATTCATACAACCCATTTGTAACCTCCGAATTAAACTCCAAATGTGATTTATAAAAGTGACTAGCCGCATATAATGGGCGATGAAGTTGGCAAAGTCCATCTATGATCAATGATTGCAAAAACATCTATGTATTTGCTTTCATTGTTGTTGAAAGACTTTATATTGGCTTCTTTTGCCTTGTCCATCACTTCATAATTCTAATGCATGGCTGGTTTTCTCTCACCTTCAAAAACAGTTACATGGCACAGCTTGTGCTGGAGCGAACTGGGATAGAGGGTTTTGGGATTTTACTTCGGCTTGATGACTTAATTTACATGTTTCTCATCTTCGTATCAGTTACTGCTTCCATTGATGGTGATGATAGCAAGTATAGGTGACATGTTCAAGCATAAGTACTTAAAATGGCCTATGCCCTATTTAGAACCCGTATTCTGTTTGACTGCTCTTGATGTCACATCTGTTTTTCATACTTGTGAAGTTATTTTATATATTTATTTCCTGGCACATATGTTGGACAGGCCTGTATTTTTCTGTACTATCTTTAGCTTATTTTTTCCCCTTGTGACAGCGCTTTACTCGTCTTGGTGGTAAGCTCCCAAAAGGTGTTTTGCTTGTTGGCCCACCTGGCACTGGTAAAACAATGTTGGCAAGAGCGATTGCTGGAGAGGCTGGGGTTCCTTTCTTCTCATGCAGTGGAAGTGAATTTGAAGAGATGTTTGTTGGTGTTGGGGCACGAAGGGTGAGGGATCTTTTTTCTGCTGCAAAAAAGCGTTCGCCTTGTATAATCTTCATTGATGAGATTGATGCTGTTGGAGGAAGCCGAAATCCAAAGGACCAAATGTACATGAAGATGACTTTAAATCAGTTGCTTGTTGAGCTAGATGGATTCAAGCAGAATGAAGGCATAATTGTGATTGCTGCTACTAATTTTCCACAGTCACTGGATAAGGCTTTGGTGAGACCTGGGCGATTTGATCGTCATGTTGTTGTTCCCAATCCAGATGTAGAAGGAAGGCGACAGATTTTGGAATCTCACATGTCAAAAGTATGCTTTTACTCTTCTGAAAGAATTTATCTTATTTTTTAGCTTGGGTTAGATGGCTTATGATTTCTATTTTCTGTGCCACATGTTCAGTGCTTACTATGCTCTCTTTAAGCTATGATGGGTATCCGCTGGGTACTTTGCATGAGCTCACACAGATAATACTTTAAATGATGTCATTTTTTTTATTTGAGTTTTGCAATAAGTGTGTCATAATTGTGATATATTGTACTTATGCAAGGATATGTACTTGTTAGAAGGAAACTTGTAACATTTGTTGGCAAATTAAAGGATATATATCTTGGTCTTAGGCAACCCCACTCTACTTGTCTATGTGTCTCCTATTATTTCCTGGTCATGAGTTCGAATCCAGGAAACAGTTTCTTTGCAATTATGCAAGGGTAAGGCTGCGTACAAGGATTTCCTTCACCCCACACTTGCTAGTCGGGCTTAACGGGGAGTGGTTTTTTTTTTTTTTTTTTATCTTTGTGTAAGCTGATATAAATCTTGATCAACAGTACGTACTTTTTATGCTGATTTTCTTTCTCCAATACAATACAGGTTCTGAAGGCTGATGATGTTGATCTAATGATCATTGCTCGAGGAACGCCTGGGTTCTCTGGTGCTGACCTTGCAAACTTGGTTAATGTTGCTGCTCTCAAGGCTGCGATGGATGGTGCTAAAGCTGTGACCATGAATGATTTAGAGTTTGCGAAGGACAAGATCATGATGGGAAGTGAACGCAAGTCAGCTGTTATATCTGAGGAGTCAAGAAAGATGACTGCTTTCCATGAGGGTGGCCATGCCTTAGTGGCAATTCATTCTGATGGAGCACTTCCTGTTCACAAGGCAACTATAGTTCCACGTGGGATGGCTCTTGGAATGGTTTCTCAGTTGCCTGACAAGGATCAGACAAGTGAGTCCCGTAAACAGATGCTTGCCCGGCTTGATGTTGCCATGGGAGGTCGGGTTGCTGAAGAGCTAATTTTTGGAGAAAGTGAAGTTACTTCTGGTGCATCCTCAGATCTTTCACAGGCAACTACTTTGGCTAGGGCAATGGTTACTAAATATGGTATGAGTAATGAAGTTGGATTTGTCACTCACGATTATAATGATGATGGGAGAAGCATGAGCTCAGAAACTAGACTGCTTATTGAGAAAGAGGTGAAGAACTTGCTGGAGAGGGCTTACAACAATGCAAAAACTATTCTAACCACCCATGATAAGGAGCTTCATGCGCTTGCAGATGCTCTTCTGGAGCATGAGACACTTACAGGAAGTCAGATAAAGGCTATAATTGCAAAAGTTAACTCTCAGCAGCAACAACAGCAGCCAAATGTAGTTGAAGCTCAGGGCAGTTCACGGTCCAATCCAGCTGCTGCTGCTGCCGCGGCTGCCGCAGCAGCTGCAGCTACTGCTGCGGCCAAGGCTCAAGGTGTTGCTCCAGTGGGATCTTAGTGGGAGATGACAATGGTGACTGATGACACATGCTGCAAAATAATTAATTACCGGATTGAAATGTGCACATAGTAATTCATTCGGTGTTTTTCATGTTCATGTGGTTCCACTTCAGTCATTGGAACTCAACTCGCGTAATTCGGTTCAAGGTTGACTCCATATTGTAGTGAGTTAAAGCTCGTTTAGGTTACTCCCTTTGATTTGTTTTACTAATTCCCTTATTATTTTTACGTTGGTTTTCATACATCAAGACTATAATTAGCTCCTTCAATTTTCCTTATCTTTTTTCTTTCTTTCTTTTATATAAGTAATTTATATTTAAAAACCAATATATAGAAGAAAAGTTGCTATTACTTCCGTGAAAACTGTAGATAGCAATACACTATTAAATAATTTCTCATTGAATAATAATTTTATTGACGTGGATAAATGTTCCTCTCAATTCTTTTATTAAATGTTTTTAAGCTCATATCTTCGGCAGTTTTTTTTTTCTGTAAATGCAATGGGCCACTTGGAAAAGTGAATTTCCCTTAGAAAGTAAATAAATATTTATGTTATTTTTGTTGTACATGTTCTTTTTTGAATTTTTGACTTATTTTCTAAGTACGATTTAAATCTTGAATTATTTATTTCACATATATACTTAGTTTGATATTTTCAAATTAATTTAAAGGCTTGAATTTAAACATGATACTGAGTCTTTGAATAAGTTTTTTTACTTAAAAATTAAATAAGTTAGTAAGTGTACAATTTTAGGATTTTATAATTATAATTGTATCAATTTTTTAAATATAAGATTCAAATATGAGTTTTTTTTTCTTTCTTTTTTTAAAATAAAAAACTTAGTTTTATCTTTTTGAAATTTAAATTAATTTCAACAAAATTATTTAAAGGCTTAAATCTAAATAAGATACCGAGTCTTTAATAAAGTTATGACTTAAGAATTCAAAGTAAGTTAATAATATTAAGATAAAATAATTATAGTAGTATTAGCAAAGGGAGTTAGTTCAAAAGGTAATAGCTTGAAGAAAAATAGCTCAAAAATGTTCTCTAGTTTCTGTTTTAAAAACTAAACAATGAAGGCTGTTTTTAGAATGATTATTATAGAGTAAAAAAGTAAAAAATTTCTGAATGGCACGCGACATAATTCGTTACATTGTGTAGCGAATTATGATTGCTGATGTTACACGTCTCAATTGGAGGAATAATTTGCTAGATAGTGTAGCGAAATATGTGGTCAAAATATCAGAATGCACAGTCAGCAACAGGACACGTGTCAAGCCAGCAGTAATTTACTAAATTGTGTAGTGAATTATGCCTCATGATGTGGCAAAGTTATATTGGATAAGTAATTCGCTACATAGTATAGCGAATTACTGATGGCTTGACACGTGTCCTATTGCTGATTGTGCATTCTGACATTTTGACCACGTATTTTGTTACACAGTGTAATGAATTATGCCGTGTGGCATTCTGAAAAATTTTAATGTTGACGTGACAGTCTGATAAATAATTTGGTGAAGTGTGACAAAATGATCACTATTACGAAAAAAACGTTTCTTCCACCACCGAAGATAAAAATAAAAAATAAAAAACGTAATTTTGAGATTGCATCTCCAACGTCGATTACCAAACAACTTTTTTAGTTTTTTTTTTTTAAATTAAAAAACTGTTCTGTAGATAAGAAATCAAACAGATTCTCGTCACTCTCCCACTACCTCTCTCTCTCTCTCCTCCTTCACTCACTATTCTCATCTATCTATCCATAAAAATCTCATTCGCTACAAAACAAAAGGAACCCGTGAAGAAAGGAGTCAACTTGTTTGTTATACATTGATATATAGATCTATAACACTTGCTTGTGGCGCCTTCTTCACTGTGTTAGGTTATAATGGTGGAGGCAAGAAAGTACATTTCGTCGCAAGAACTGAGCAAACACAAGCACAGAGGAGATCTTTGGATCTCAATACACGGCAAGATCTACAATGTGTCTCAGTGGGCCAAACACAATCACCCTGGCGGTGAGCTTCCATTGCTGAACCTCGCTGGTCAAGATGTCACCGATGCTTTCCTTGCTTACCATCCCCTCACCGCATCCCAATACCTTCCCAACTTTTTCACCGGTTATTATCTCGAAGATTACTCTGTCTCCGATGTATCCAAAGATTATCGTGAACTCTTGTCCCACGTTACAACCATGGGTCTGTTTCAAAACAAGGGACACGGCGCGTTATTCACACTGTTGCTGATGGCAATTTTGTTTTGTGCCAGTGTTTATGGTGTTTTTGGTTCTAGCAGCCCATGGGTGCATTTGGGTTGCGGTGGTTTAATGGGGTTCTTCTGGATTCAAAGTGGGTGGATTGGACATGACTCTGGTCACTACCAGATTATGACCAACAGGTGTTTCAATCGCTTTGCTCAGATCCTCTCTGGGAATTGCCTTGCTGGGATTAGTATTGCGTGGTGGAAGTGGAACCACAATGCTCACCACATTGCTTGTAACAGTCTTGATTTTGATCCAGATCTTCAGCACATGCCCTTTTTTGTTGTATCTTCCAAATTTTTCAATTCCATTACTTCTTACTTCTATGATAGGAAGATGAACTTTGATTGTGTTTCTAGGTTCTTGGTTAGTTATCAGCATTGGACATTTTATCCTGTAATGTGCTTTGCTAGAATCAATTTATTTGCCCAATCTTTCAGCTTACTTTTGTCCAATAGAAAGGTACCCAATAGGGGCCAGGAGCTTTTGGGGCTGCTTGTGTTTTGGATTTGGTACCCTCTTCTGGTTTCCTGCTTACCCAATTGGGGAGAAAGAATATTGTTTGTCATTGCTAGTTTTGCTGTCACTGGGATACAGCATGTTCAGTTCTGTTTGAATCATTTCTCTTCTAGTGTTTATGTTGGACCACCAAGTGCTGGTGATTGGTGTGAGAAGCAGACTGGTGGGACGCTTGATGTAAAGTGCTCATCATGGATGGATTGGTTTCATGGTGGATTGCAATTTCAGGTGGAACATCATCTGTTTCCCAGGCTTCCCCGTGATCATCTTAGGAAAATCTCCCCTTTGGTTAAGGAGCTCTGCAAGAAACATAATTTGCCTTACAACTGTGTCTCATTCTGGAAAGCCAACGCATTAACAATTCATACACTCCGGAATGCAGCCTTGCAGGCTCGTGATCTTACCAATCCAATTCCCAAAAACTTGGTTTGGGAAGCTATTAATACTCACGGATGAATGGAACTCGAGTGAAGCTTCCTTAGATTTTGCTGTCATTTAAAGAGCATGATAAATTCCTTTGTTTCAGAGGGAAAATAATATATTTCCACATTGCTTGGAGGCTTCAATTACTCATCACCTGAGCTGCATGGTGGTAGAATCAGCCATTCTCCTTTATCAAAATAGGTGAGAAACTAATGATATCGTTTATCTGCAGGCTAATATGAGGGCTCAGCTCTTATGCTAGACAGTGGAATGCGAGTACCATGTTGATTATTTATTGTCTGCTTTAATAGTTTAATTTCATTATGATGCCATGAGTCTCTCTGCGTAGCCCTTTGTGTTATGTCTGGGAATTCATTGTCATTTAGAGCAAGGAGCGGAACATTTGTCGGATTCAAATTTGCTGAATGATCCTCTATTTGCCATTGCCTGCTTCTTGTTCCTATCAATTTGGTTGAACTCTTTGTAATTGTTATAAGCACATGTTGCACAACTTGTTCCATGTATTGCATGACTAAGCTTGTAATTTATGAATTGATCTTTGCACTTGCTGTGGGAAGTGAGAAATTGAAATTTGAAACTACCCCTATATCTTTTGTCATACAAATTATATATGCAGGGAAGTTACAATTTTTCAATCGCCAACTAGATTCAATTTTGAAGAATCGGATATTATAGATTCTGTGTGTTAGTGAACGTAATAAGACAGAGGTAAATGCTTGAAAAAATGGAGAGTCATCTTGTTTCTAGATGGATAATGAAACAATATTAATCATTGAAATTAGAACTTAATTTTTTAGGGAAGCAAATATGATCTTCATTTTTGTCTTTTAGCAAATAGTGTGGTACCCCAAGCTGAATGATGCAGAATAGTTTCTCCATTACCGTTATATCCTTCATATTTTCTCCAACTCAGCATCATACGCTAATCTCCGTTAAACCTTAGGTTAGTTGCATAAAGAGTGGCATCAAGATTTCCTTCAGTTTTCTCCTCGGTTCCCCTGCATTTGAATCGCACCCCACTTTTGTTCTTGCTTCCTGCAATGATTTGTTCCTATGCACGAATCGTGCACTCGCTCATGGCCGTTACCGGGCTTGCAAACACTGGATCTAGCTACCTCAGTCTCTGCAAGTCATGATAACAATTAACAAACAAGGGTTGGGTTAGCAACTGATGAAAATAATCAAACTAACCGAGCTTAAGAATTTGCTCAAAACATTTTACAATTTTTTGGGGTCTAAACAGTACATTTTGAGAGAACATCATGTTAATGTGTGTGTGTTTTTTTTTGGGTACATATATGTTAATGTGTTTTAGTTATGTTTTGGAAGGGCTAATAGTGATTTTGGATTGTTGGATCCTGAAACAAAAATAAGTATACAATATTTTTGGGTATTGTAAAAAAAGACAGGATATACTTACCATTACCACCTTTACAACCAATTTAATAACCATTGATTTTTGTGAATGTAATGGTTATAATTTATTGAGTTTATTAAAAATTAAAAATTAATTAATAAGTGCGATCCAATAATTCTTAATAAATTATAACCATTAGATTAACAGAAATCAACGGTGATTAAATTGGTTGTAAGGATGGTAAATTTTTGTAATGGTAAGTATATCCTCCCCTTTTAAAATAAAATAAAATAAGTATTAAATTATAAGGAAATTATGTAAAATAAACCATATTTGCAATAAAATTATTTATCTGAAGTATAGAGTTTATTTTAATAAATTTTGTTATTTTATGTTACACTTTATGATTTTGCCTATTTCGTTATACAGCGTATGTTGCATTCTGTTTCTTTCTGTCTATTCCTTCTTCTAATGTAGAAATACTTGTGTAGACTTTATTTATACAATTAAAGGTAAACAAAACCAAATAGTAATAAGTATATTTACATAAACCAATCAATAATTAGTACATTATCACATCATAAAAAGATTTATGTGGTTTTTGTTTATAAAGTGATAATATATTTGTTATTGATTGATTTAGTTCACCCAACTTGTATAGAGAAGTTCTACACACATATTTCCCCTTCTCTTAGAAGTTTCATAGCACCAAAAAAACATGACTAATTCAGTTCATTTCAAAATCATTCATTTTAATAATTAAATTTTGAAAAACGAAATTTTGAATTCAATTATCAAAATTTTAACTGAAGGAGAAGAGCAAAACAATTACTTGACAACTGAAACCAACCAGTATTATAATTGGATATTATTAATCTCATGTTAAAGGAGATAAGTTATGTCATATTATAGAGATAAATATGTGGATCTCACTGTTTGTAAAAAAAAAAGCTCAAAGGACTCATCTTTTTATTTGTATATGAGAGGAAAATTGTCCCATTTAACATAAAAAAATATTTTTCCATTGTAATTAGGGTATTGTTTGTATCCGGTTGCAGAAAAAAGCAATATCTTCCTGCTGATATATTGATTGTCGTGATTTTTTATTTTGCTTTTTTAAATTTTTTAGCTAGTGGGACCCACAAAATCTTATTAGTGCAGGAATGGATTTCATGTTTCCTGTAACATAACATGTATAATTCCCTTGTAATTATGCCCTTTTTCGTTTGTTTTTGTCTTTCGAAATAGGAAAGCATACCTAGCATAGATTTGTTGTGTACACGCGAATTTTGTGAATTGAATAACTCAAAATTGTTAAAAAATACAATTTTATATTTCTTAAAAGGTGTGGATTTCATCCTCTTTGCGCTCTTGCATTGCAGTTGGCCTCCTATTAAGTCAATTGAAGCCAAGGTCAGGTCCGTGACTTGATATTACTCTTCAATTTTGTAGTCTCCTTTAAGATTTGGGTTCAAGAATAAATGGATTTTGAGGTCTTTTCGTTTTCTACAATGTCTATATACAAATTTTATAACCCTATATGTATAAAGTTAACCAAAGTTTTCACAACTGAACCGGTCTTTGAACTCGTAGAGAGAAAAGTTTAGGCTTTTTAGGGCCTGTTTGGAAAGAAGATGGGATAGAATAACTTATCGTATCCTACTTTTATCTCTTGTTTGGTGGGTCTATAGGATATGATTATCTTATCCTATTGTCTCATTTTATCCTATTCAATACATGATTTCTTATCCAATGGGGGGAGCTGGGTTAGGATTCAACAGGAGAATACGAATATTGGATATTCAATATCTCTTCACGCTATCCAATATATCTCCATGCTACCCAATATATTTGTATTTATTGCATTATATTTTTTCTTTCTTTCTTTTTTCTCCTTCTACATAATCTTATCATATTGCTAATCAGGTGCTCATCAAACACAAGATATGATATAGGCTTATCAACCCCATATCATATCCTACCTTTATCAGCCTCATATCGTATCCTACACTTATCATATCATGTCTACCAAACGAGCCCTTAAGGTTTAATATGGCTGATCATTAAACTTATTAGGAGATATGTTTAAAATTTTGAAAATTCATATATATATCTATATAATATGTTAAGTGTATAAATAATAATAATAATAATAATAAAAAATAAATCGTGCATAGAAACAGCTTAGAGAAATGGCAGTGAAAACAATTATATACATAGGGGATGGGTCATTTGATTATGATATACAAATATATTTTTTTATGCATCGATGATTGTATCTATTTAGATACACGAAAATCGAAGGTTGAAATGAGAAATATATATTTTTTATTTTTATACCGAAGTCAAAATATCCTTTCTGATGTTATATGGGCGATATATATTATATGAGATAAATGTTTCTCAATGTTATAGGAGATAATTTTATCTTCTATACACACATAAAAGTGTGTGAGATCATGTAGAATCATGTGAATGTGAAGAGAATATAGAGATGTTGCAGACGATCTTCAACTGTATCCATCCGATTGCAAATCTTTTCAACCTTAGTATCAAGTCTTTTCAGAATAGTATTATGGGCTTGAGCATTTTCACTATCAACCTTAGTGTGTCAATCTTAGAAAACCTTATAGAGTGCTCATATGTCCCTGAAGATGCAAAGATTCTTGGAACAGTACCATCGTTGTTCAGTCCTTACAATATTTTCAAAAGACAGAGACTTGTGTTTAAAAGTATCACTGAGTTGATTTCCACCAAGAGACAAAGAATATGTTCAGTCTTCTAAGATGGATCAGTGTGAGCTATAAGCCACTTCTCAAGAACAGTATGTAGATCTGGAGATTCCTACTGAGTTAATCACTCGCTGGAGACAAGAAGGCTATACTGCACTTCATTTTGGTGCAATAAGACTAATCCTTTCACTCCATGGAAGGAAAGGTGTGTCAATTACAGCTCGTGTTGCTCTGCTAGACTCTAACTTCATCCATTATGAAAATGTTGTGATTGGAACTGTGCTGACAACTCTTCATGCGGGAAGTGATGAGGTGTATTTACTATGCTTCTTGTTATTATAATTTCCTTGCCTATAAAAGGAAACCTGGAAGTGCTTGTATGGCAGAACGAGTTTGCAAAAAATAAAAGCTTGTGTGTTTTCTCTATGAATTTCTAAAGAATTCTCTCTTCTCTCTGAAAACTTAGTATAATCTTCTTACTATAATTACTAATTTCTGGAAGAGAAAGTTAGTATAAAAAAAAAAAAAAGGCCTAGCCAATCACATCCCTAAAATCTCCTGAACGAATACTTGTTTCTTTGATCGTAAGCAAGATGCTCAATAATGCAAGTGAAACAAGTGCTAGCAATCATTTAATTATTTGACTGTGTAGTACCAAATCATTTGCATGAACCATTAGACAAAGCGTAAACAAGTTGTTGTTCTTTGCTCTCGGGTCGCAGTCATTAAAACGAAACGACCACTCTCCTTCCGATTTTCCCTTTCTTGTAATGCTCAAAGTGTCTGTGTCTGTGACCAAACTAAAAACACGAAGCACCGCAAAGACATAAATTTGTTATTTGGGAGCCCACGGCTTCCCTCAATAATAATCAGAATTATAAAGAATCAAGACAAAAGTTTCGTTTAGTGCGGAAATCGAGGTATTTTTTGTAAAAATTAAGATATTTTTGTAATTATAATATATTGCAGAGTTATATTAATATTTATCATTATAATATTTTAATCTTATAACCTCAAAACGACGTTGTTTTGAACTTACTGGAGATAACTTTGTCTCTAGTGACTGGAGAAATACTTTTCCAGACCCACCTATGAAGAAAGAAATTCTACTAAAAAGAAAGTGGGAGCGGTGAGAATCGAACCCAACTCTGATACCATGTAAAGAATTAATTCAACTTAAAAATTTAAGTTGTTGAATAAGACTATATTAATGGTATTATATATCGAAGTATAACATCATGTCATTCTCAGGAGTGCTCTCTGTTGTGGCTTGAGAAACCATATCCACCACTTCTTCAAATAAATTCACTTGGTTGGATTAGTGCCATTGACAATTGCATTGGAAGTGAATTCAACGGAATATGGTATTCTTATTCCCCCAAATGACTACTTGTATTGTATGCAAGTAATAACACGAGGAAACCAAGACAAAAAGTAAAAAAAAAAAAAAAAAAAATAGGGGGCACAAACTGAGAAAAAGAATTGGAAGATAGATCTAAACTGCCTTACCGACCAGATCGAGAACCCATAGTAACCACGTGCGCCCAAATTAAGACACCCAATCTCTATCATGCATTTCACTTGACGGTGATAAATGAGAAGTCACTTATACAGTTATAGATTCAGATGTTATTTTTAAAGACCCCCTTTTTTTTTTAGTACATCTAAAAGAGCTTGTTCTCTTCTTGCTTGTTTTATTTGCCTTGCCCATTTTTATTCTGTTTTATTAAATTGTTTATGATCACTCTAATATAATATCTAAGCAGCAAGTTGGCCCTTAGGATCTAATCCAATATCAGTGGTCAGTCTTCCCATGTGCCTTAGGAGGAAATTGGGATTTCCCCGGCAGAGATAGGTACCCATAGGAAAGGTAGAAAATAGAAAGCATTTAAAGATCCGTACAACACCAACTGGCATACATTTTTTGGGGATCTCTGCTTTGGGCCCCCATTCCCTCTTCTTGACAAATGAAACTCACTGTGGTTTATGGCTCAAAGGATTCTGTTCCGTCACTTCGATCATTCTCAAAGTCTCAACTACAACCAAAACTACACTTGCGTGAAGCAATCAATAACTAACTAAACCCAGTAATACTCCATATATTTGTTGTAATTTTGTTGCTAATTCAAGCTATAAAAAATGAAAAGGCTCTTTTTTTTTCTTTTTTTTTTTTTTGGGATTAGCAGTTAAGACTTAAGAGCACAGACAGAAAAATACAGTTCGATACAAATAGATGTGCGGGTGGCAATTGGTGGGACACGTTTCAGTCCAGAATTGAGAAAGATGGTACAGGCGCACAGCACCTGATTTAACGCAATTCGCATCAATTTTAGTATTCTGTATTGCTTGACAGTTGAAACTCCCAAATCTCTCTGTCCACTGATCTCCGTGAAGTCATTTCCCTCTTTTATTCTCTTATACATGGATTCTGTGTTTATTATTTTAGGAGAGAGATAGACACAGAAAATAAAAATTATGAGAGAGAAGGTGAGTGATTTATTTTAATTTAAGATTTAAATAAATTGTTTTATTCTGTGTCTATCTCTCTCTTAAAATGACATAACTTTATGTCATTTAAAATGACAAACACCAAATTCAAAAGGGGAAAAATATTTGTCATTTTAAATGACATAAGTTATGTCATTTTAGGAGAGAGAAAAACATAAAAAATAAAAATCATGGGAGAGAGAAAGTGAGTGATTTTTTTAATTTAAATTTTAAATAAAAAAAATTATTTTGTGTCTATCTCTCTTCTAAAATGACATAACTTTATGTCATTTAAAATAACAAACACTTTTCTTATATATATATATATATATATATATATATATATATATATATATATATATATATATACGGGGAAAGTTATACTTACAACCTATTTTCGTTTATAGCTTCTTACAATCATATCTTAACCTTTGATTTTCGTATTTTCGTTTATAGCTTCTTACAATCATATCTTAACCTTTGATTTTCGTCAATTAACGGTTAAGATTTTCGCAAATCAAATTTATTAATTAATTATTAATTCACAATAAATGACAGCCGTTGATTGACGGAAATCAACAGTTAAGATATGATTGTAAGAATTTGTAAATTATTTGAATTGTAAATATAACCTCTCCCTATATATATATATATATATATGATTAATTAATGTTTATTTAATTAAAAATAATTTATGTAAACTTAATCAGGAGATTAATAGTTAAATCAAAAGTGTTAATAAATTTACAAGATAGAATAAAGAAAATACAAATTACTTATTAGTAAATGAACAAGCAAAACAAAATACGTTACCCTCGTTTCCATTTTCTTTGTTCCGTAATTCTTTGCAATGTGCATTATTCCAATTTATTCAAAGCAATGTACAGAATCACATTCGATCATGTTTCATAGATCAGGGCATTAATTAAACAGAGATCTATTAAAGATAACAAAGACAGAGGGGAGTGGTTAGATTTCAAAACTCAGATATAATTTCCAGTTGCATTACTAACTATAAAAACGTTGAAACAAATTACAGCAAGTAACTACAACGACAAAATAAAATAAAATAACAACTAAATTTAGGGCTTCCTTGCCCTAACTCTCATATCACAACCTCAAAAAAAAAAAAAAAAAAATTCTTTTGTTTTACAAATTTCACCCTGTCAATACAATTGGCAAGGACACTCGTTCACATTTCATGATAATCATAATCAATCCATTCCTCCTCTAAAAAAAGGGTCCAAAGGCAATGATAAAAAGAAAAAGAATGAAATTTAAAAATAATAAGAGAGAAGGGATCTTTGATGATTGGATTGATTATTGATATTGATAATAATGAATAATTGGCAATAATAATCAATCAAAGATTTAAAAAACTAAAATGAGAACTTCCAGATCTTGATTCGAAGATCGACCTTACACTCAGAGTTGATGACGGAAGCCACCGACGGAGACTTGCCGGCGGGCACAGTCCCTTTGATTCCGTCACACGTCACTCTAATCCCAACCTGCTTGCTCTTCAGCCACTCCATCTTCATCTTCACCTTCGTGTCCATCTGAATCTCCACCGGGAACCCATTCTTCTTCTTCAGACCCGATCTCAGGCTAGTCAACGAGTCAGTGTCCAGATCTTGGGAACCCGACAAGATCGCTCGGAGGCTCGTCTGGTTGTTCTTGTCGGAGGTGAACGCCGTCAGGGAACCGTTTCCGATTTGGACGGAGTCGGAGAAGGCGGTGACGGTGAATGGGTCGTAAAAGAAGACGAGGTGGTTGTTGGGGTTCTTGGCGATGAGGGTGAGGTTGAAGAGGGTAGTGAGGTGGGAAGGTGAGTCGCTCGAGGTGGTGAGGTTCATCTTTGCAATGCGGAGGTTGGTGATGGAGAATTCCGGTCGGTGAGGGCGATAGAGGACATAGATTGCGGCGCCGGCAATGGCGGCGAGGAGAGCGACGGCGAGGACGGTGAGGATGGTCCAGAAGCAGCAGCAGCAGCAGAGGTTACGGTGGGAGCGTTGGCGGCGGTTATAGTGGGATTGAGGCCGGTAAACTTGGCGGTTTGGGTTGTAAAGCTGGGATTTCACTGGACCGGGATTGCCGTTAGTGGCAGCGGCGGCGCCGTTAATTGCGCCGTTTCCGTTGGGTTTAGAAGACGGCTCGGTCATTTTGAGAAAAAAAATAAAAAAAATATATAAATGTGAGTCGAATCAGAAGTGAGGTGTGAAGAGAGTAAAGAGATGAGAAGGAGGAGTTGAGAAAAGAAGTAGTTTTGTAGAGGAAGAAAAATAAAAAGTGAGGAATGAGAGAGAAGAGATAGGTACCCAGAGCCAAAAGTGGATGTTTCCACCTCACCAAAATTGGAATCTTATTTTCCGTAGCAGGAAGTAGGGCTTTTTTTTTATTTTCATTTTTTTTTTTGGGTACATGGATCTTTTTTCTTTTGAATTTCTATAAATTTCTTTTTGCTTACAATCAAATCTTACTCTAGATTTCTATCAATTTAATATGTGTAAAATTAAAGAAAATCAATGATTAAAATTTATAAAAATTAATGATTAAAATTTGATTATAAAAGATTGTAAGCGAAAAAAGATTGTAAAATGTAAATATAACATTCCTCTTAGATTATTTATTGGAATTTGTGTTTCTCATATTATTTGAGATAATCATACCTATTACACACATATAAAAATAAGTGGAGTCATATGAAAAGAAAAGAAATAAAAAAATGTAAGTTCCATATAATTTTATATATATACAAAATAAAATTATTTCCTATATTTTAAAAAATATAAATCTCTTATTTATTATTATAAAACTTGAGTGCCAAGTTAAAGTTTTGTTGTTGTGTCTATACTAGTTAAAATTTTGATTTAAATCTACCCAAAAAAATTTGATTTATTACACTTTTATGATTTTTTTTTCATTAAAATAATTTATCAACATTTCAAACGTTTGTATATTTTTATGATTTTTTTACGTTATGTAAATTTTAATTATAGGTGCCTAGTGATTTTGCTTATCTTACACGCGTGTCGCTTGCTGCTTTTCTATTTCCTTCCATTCCACTGGTTCTGTTAGCTTCGGAACATGTGATTGAGTGAACTCCCCGTAACACTGGGTCCACTCATTTTCCATCTATTTTTCCAAGGATTCACGCACTTTTGTTAGTTAATGACAAATAGAGACACAAATATATGAGTGAAGTATTTTTGTCCGTAGTTTTTTCTTGTCTCTTTTTTTCTGTAGGTTTTCCAACAACAACAAAATATTTTTGTCGTCAATAAAAATTATTGGATTCATTTTAATTTCTTAAAAAAAATTCACTTGTGATTTCTCTAAAATTTAAAAAAATTACTTAGTCAAAATTATGGTCCCTCTGAAATTTAAATAAGACTCACGTTAATCTCTCAAAAGGATTAACATAAATCTATTTTGAATTTCATAGAAACTGGATCACAAGTCAACTTTTTTCTTTTCAAAAAATTAAATAGCCTCCATGATATTTGTTGAGGACTCAAAAGATACTTCGTGCCAAGCAATGTTGTTAAAATTGAGATCTTAAGTAAAATAGAAAGGAAATTAAAAAAATCGTAAAACATAAAATTGTAATGTAAAAAAATCGTAAAAATGAAAAAGCGTTTGAAATATTAGTAAAATCATTTTAATAAAAAAATCATAAAAACATAAAATCGTAGTGATAAATCAAGATTTTAACAACAATGGTGCCAAGAGACAGTCTGAGGTAGACAATCTTTATGGGACATGTTTTATTAAATGGAATAAAGATATAATAGAAATTAGCTTTTGGAGAGATATAGCTCCATCCTTGAAAATCGGTATAGTTCAAAACAAAGAACTGTCGAGGATTCAAATCTTTCTCTCTCTTTTTACTCGACGAATGTATTTTTTATTTTTTTATGGATTTTGGTTGGCTTAGTTTTTTCGGGTTCGGCTAAACAGGGATATGTATAGCCGAGCCCATACAATTACAAGTCCGATTAGATCTTATGGCCATACGCCCATACGTTTTTTCCCATATTTTATTTTTAATGAAGTTTTTCTTTTTTAAGTGTAAGACTATAATTATCATTTATGGCACTAGGATAGTTCTTCTTCGTAAATATTTTCTAGTGGCTCAAACACTTGATATCATAGATATCCATCTAACTTTTTGTCATGCTCTAATTAATGACAAAGGCCCTGCGAGTTTGGTTTAAAAGCTTAGACAATCAATGGCTGGTAAGACAAATGCTCTATCTAATTGATATATGACAACGTGAAAGCTGTATGGCAAGATTTAAATTTATTACCTAATGTAAATTATTAAGTCTTTCACCGCAAGTTCACTACTAATAAATCCAATCTGTGATACTTTGATCATTTAAACTGTAACACAAAGAAATATAGATTTCCCATTGCTCAAAATCAATGGTAGCTTATAGTAATGGCAAAATAATTCAGACGCAATAATCATTCTGAATTGTTATCACAAAATCAGGCCAAAGAAGTAGAAACTATTCTAACGCAGTGCAATAATGGGCTAAAAAACCATTATTATTATTATTATTATTATTATTATTATTATTATTATTTATTTTTCACACAAAAAAAATCATTATTATGATCCTAATAACATGCACGTCATCAAAATACTGAAGTTTTTTTTCTTAATATGATACCTATAGGGCTAAATTTACTAAAAGAATCAATTTAAATAATTTAATAGAAACAATATTATTGAATTTGGCCACATTATTGATTCAGTCAATCTTACACCCAATAATTTTAATTATTGATACACTTTTATTTAATCGCTCACATATATAATAAATTATAATTATTAGATATTGATCGGTCCAAAAGGAATAAAGTCTAACCACACACAATTGAGCATGGTCTAAGTGTGATTGAAGGATGATTATGATGAGATATGCTGTTCTGCTATACAGAATAATGGTACTGATGTTAAAGAACTTTGCTTGTCTGGGATAAATGAGAGTGGGTACCTGCAAGCACTCCAACGCTCAAGTTAGTATTTAAGTAATGAGTTTAAGTAAACTGGAGAAAGATGCTCATACATGGGCTTCGAACCTCTTTTTTATAGCAATGGGATGACATGTTTGTTGGCTTGTCATGACGCCTTAGTATGACGACATGCATTTTTATTGGTGGATTAAACCGACTTTTGCTAACCTATCCCATTCACGGGATGCCTGTTGATAGGCTCATGTAAATTTTGTGTCTGTCCCTTAATTATTGGTTATTAATGAGGCATATGAACTATGTGTTATTGTCAGTCTAACTATGCATTCCATTTTCAGATTGCGCGTAAATATGAAATGCGTGTTTCCTTACCGATTAAGTCTATATCTTTAAGCCTTTGAGCTTGTCAATTGTATTGGACCCTTCACTCCGTTAAATATGGATCCAAATCAAATATAAATAAAATCAACAATTAAAATTTACAATCTAATTTACTATAAAATTTTAACTAATATGTAACTCATGATAGATGCCCAAGCTATTATTTCCCGACACACAAGTTCAATTTGCATAAGGGAATAATCTTAAAACAGTTTGCATGAAATTCCACCAATTGGTTTAAAACATAAAATTGGTGTTTGTCTCGCACAATTCAACCATCAAAATGGGGTATATGTTTTCTCATATCATAGGAGAATGAATTCTTTTGTTGCTGACACACTAAAGAGTCAGGGCCAGTTAAAATATGTGTGGTCCACAACAAACATCTCCTTTCTTGTGTCAGCAAGAGAAGAAATTTTTTTTCTGTGACATGAAAAAAACATAACCCTTTCAGAATAATTTAGTTGGCTTGACAAATTAGCTGGTGATAATTTAGTTGGCTTGACAAATTAGCTGGTGATAATATTCTAGGTTGAATCAGTTCAGTACTGTTTCAATAACCCTAAATGGAAGTATTTAATATTGTTTTTAAATTATAAAATATTTTAATTAAAATTGAATATTTCTTCAACAAAGCCCATAAATACAAGCTAATACCTTTTGTATATGTCAATTATATTAGCTTATTATTAATTATAAATTCAACTCCTATATATAGCTTATTTTTCATTCATAAATTAATTTTGAATGAGACTTGTGATGCGACATATTTTAATTTTAAAACTGAGCGATATTTCTCTTTTTTAACTTTATTTACTAACAAGACATATTATTAACAATTAGCAACTTACCATGATCCTTAGTTCAAACTCCCAAGCTTGCCAACTTTTTATAGCTCTTGTTAATTGGTATCCATAAATCATCTTAATTATTTAAATTCATCATATATATATATATATATATATATATATATATATATATAGGAACGTGATCCTTTGACACTGGTGTCAAACTTCAAAATTTGACACTAAATTTTAACCGTTGATTTCTGTCAATTAACGATTATCATTTATTGGGAATCAAACTTATTAATTAATTATTAATTTTCAATAAACAATAATCGTTAATTAGAGGAAATCAACGGTTAAGATTTGGTGTCAAAAGATTTTATCTCATATATATAGAGAGGGGGGGGTAAAATCATATCTAAAGTTGTTGTACGTGCAGCAATGACAGATATATGGTTATGATTTATTATATTAGATGTTTTAACTTATATATATATATATATATATAATTTATCATTATTGTACATAAAACGTCTGCAAAAAAAATTGAACATATATATATATATATAAAATTCTTGAATTGGATAAAAATAAAAAGTCTTACAATAAATTTTAGTCATTAATTTGTTTATATCTAATGTATCATACATTTAATAAATTAAAATCATTATATACGAATAAAATCAAAAATCAAAAATGAAAATTAAAAATATAATTTATCCGATTGTAAAATGATCTTTAATTCTCTTCATATACATATGTGAGTGAGAGTGAGAGAGAGAGAGAGAGAGAGAGAGAAGAGGGATAGCGATGGAGACTAGAGAGAGTCTGTGTCGGATTGTAGAATCTTAGTCATTGCTGATTGACACTGTAACTGTAAGGATTAGTTTTGTAATCATTTTCGTCGTTGCAATTCCTTAACTCCAAAGTCAATAACTAGCTAAACTCATAAGTTTTATCTAGGGTTATGAATGGGTCAGGCTGGGTTGGGCTTTAGTCTTTCTAGCATAAGTCTACGTAAAAAATTATTCAGCCTATTTGGTCTATTGACTTACTAAAGGATTTATTTATAGGTCATACCTGTCCTATTTTTAAAAATTAGAGAACATTATTTGGCCTACAGGCCATGTAAGCCTCCCTAGTAAAATAATTTCAAAAATATTTTTAACAATTTTAAAATATTCACTTGACATTACAAGTCATTAACGTGTTCATAAATTGCTATATTTTTTTACAAGAGATATAAATTTCACTAGTGAGCATTCAAAATTTTACAATAGTAAAAGAAATAACTATAAAAATATACTGAGCAAAGCTCCATTCATGCGTGCACTAGTACTTCTCATAATTCATAAAAAATGACAAACAAGAAAGAGTCAACATAATACCTCAACTCTATAATGTATATCATATACCCAAAAATAAATATATTTTATATTATTTTATTTTAAAAAATTAAATAGGCCAGCCTACAAGGCTTTAGGCCAGGCTTGACAAATTTGACTTATGACCTACTTGTTAAAAAAAAAATTTTATAAGTCTAAATCTACTCAACTTTTCAACGTAGGTCGGACTGTAGTGGCCCGTTTAGGCCCTAGTTCTATCCCACTCCGCGTCCCATTTCTAACTTAAATCGTACCTCAATATTTTTCTTTTCATATTCTCCTCCTTAATATTTTTCTATTAATTATTATCCTATTATTTCAAACATGACAGGCTTTGCACAGAGTCACACAGAAAGGTGACAGAGTTTCCAAACTTACTGTTTCAGGGTAGACCGCCGACACCTGGATTTTCATTATTTGAAATTTGAAGAGCGATTTATTTTGTTTTCTTGGTGTAAGATTAGGGAGCCTAATTATACTAAGACTTTAACCAGAAAACACCATCTAAATTTAACATGAATAGGTACATAATTGTCTAAAATTTAAAATATGAAAATATATTATTGCATTTTTTAAGGTACGTTTAATATGACTGAGAAGTGCAAAACTTAAACTTCATGGGTGGAGTCAGGATTTAAAACTTGTTGTGCCAAACTATAAATTTGTATTTTGGGAATTAAATTAAATTTTGTAGGACTTTTAAAATATCTAAAATCCTCTTAAAAAATGTTGAGATTTGGGGTCATGGTTCCTCCTAACCTCCTTCCTTCCTCCTTATGAAGTTTCATATTTTAGGCATGGATTTATAACCTTTGAACTCTCGCACTAAATGAAAAAAAAAATTGTTAAAAGATTTAATTCACAATTGCTCCTATCCCATAATTATTCTTTTGTGATTAAACAAATTTTTTTTTTTTTGGAACATTGAGAAATTCAACACACAACCTATTACATAATCACACCCATACCCCTTACCACTACATTAACCCAAGTGACTTGATTTCAGAAATATTTTATCAAGCTTATCTATTCTTTGCTTTAAATCATCTTAGCTAGAATTAATATGACATATGTGATTAATTCTAACATTATTGAAAAATGAAAAACAACATTTTATGTATCAAAGTTACAATTTGGCACAGTGGTTTGGTGTTGCCACTAGACAGGGAATCCCATTTCCAATGAGCTGTATACCCGCTAAGAGCAGTTTGCTCTCATTTTTAGAGCAACACAACAACCATGCACCGGTTCACCGAGGTTTCGAGTTCAAAATATGGTATAATGGGTGAAGCTAGCTAGACTGGGTTTCGGTTTATGCCATTGAACTTGAAATGCATTAAAGTATGTACTCAAGATTTTTTTATACAATGATAACATTGAAGTTTGAACATAAAAACCTCATGGAGATTACTCAACTCATCACTAGTCCACTCCAGGTGACTTTGTACTTAATATTATTATGGGAAAACATTTTTTACTTTTAAAGGAAAAAAAATTTCTCCTACTAAAGACTCATCGTATAAGTGAGACCTACAAAATAGTGGAGAAAAAAAAAATCAAGGTAGGACCCACTTATACAATGAGACTTTAGTAGGAGAAAATTTTCTCCTTTAAAAAGAGAAAATGTTTTTCCTATTATTATAATAGCTTGATATTATTCCCTTTTAAATCAGATCTTTTATGATTACTCATCAAACAAAATCAAAGCAGTAACACAAATGATACCTTTTTTGGATGCGCGTTCTACTTTTTTGGGTGTGTGATATCCCTTTGATCGGAAGACACACCACGTTTTAGCTTCATGTCACAGAATCAACCATGATGACAAAGCAACTTGTTTCTTTTTTTGAGGTGAGGAAGAGAAAAGGATATGTTCCTCGTACTAATCCTAAAGCAAAAATATTGGGTTCGCTAAGACAGGAGGAACCGAACAGTAATTTGACACCAAAACGTGTGGTACCAAAGAATGTCTCTGAGTACTAACTGTTAACTATTACTAACTTCAATCTTGTAGGCAGAACAGAAGCAACCCTCTTAAAAAAATTAAATATAAAAACAAATCAAACTATAAACTAGTACTATCAAACTGAACAAATTTGATCTTCCCTTACCATATTCATAGAGAGGGAAGGCCCCCCAAAAGAAAACGAAAGATCACCGAACGCAATACAAATAAAAATCATGCGTATGTGGTACAGCCACATGATTGTGAATATGTTAGGAGCCACAAAATAAGTAGACATGGAAGTTATTCAAAAGGACAAAGCAACAGCATGTGAAGGAAGCATATCTTTTTCAAGGACATGCCTAAAGTGCCAACACGTGACATAAACTTTGTTAATAAATCCTTGATGCCCGCTTGGATTTGTCCATAATAAATCCAGACAGCAAACAAAGAAGATCGCAATCTTAAGTCAATCACAAGTTCACAATATATTCTACTCTGCATGTTAGTTATTCTCACATCCAACAAAAACAAAATTCGAGAAAATATAAAATCAATAGAGACTAAATGCAAATTTTTGAATGCCTCACGTTGATCAATGAATATGCTGTGACAATTGTAACATTGTTGAGAAGGGGATCGATGACAGAGAAAAAACAATTCAAGTTAGAAAACTCTAGTTCCTGACATCAGGTCCTTTGTCATACATATCCTATATAATCTAAAATGCACGAGCTCATCCATATGAACGACCACCAGGCAAGTGCAGTTTGGTGTCAACAGAGATTCCTTTACATAAAGAAGATATAGGAATTTGACTCCACTATACAGCTAAACTTGTTAGTCTTACAAGTTACGGAAGAGAACTTCATCTAGTTTACCGACCATGGTTTCAATAATCGTTAGGCATTTTCACTCCTTCATTTTACTGGAATATCTCATGTATCCAGGATCAACTGAACAATCATTGACTCTCTCTGCCTCTTCATGGGCGATCTTTAAGATCAAGTAATCTGTCATCAAGGCACAAAATTATTAGAAGAAGAAATCACATCTCTTTAGGGGGGTGTACCAATTTCTACAAGCAATCAGTAGAGCCACAGGAGATTTTAATCAAATACCTTTGAAACTTAAGTTCCCTGTAGATGAGCATTACGCTCAGTAAAATTGGGATCAGTGCTAAGCACAAGTGTTCCAAAGAATGCCCACTGATAATGTAGTTATTTACATGGTACAGTTTCCTGTCAGTAACACCTTCAAATTTTGCCAGTAGATAAATCCCTGTGCCAAAAAAAATTCAGGCTTCAAAGCTCGCCCACAAAAATTTATACAATATGGTTATTTCTTGTATATCCTCGGTTCATAAGTTAACAGCTGCTTTATTTTCTTTAAAGTTCGCATAATTCATGGACAGCCCAACAGAAAGGAACAGAGCACTTTTTGAAGGCAAATGGGTTATAAGTGAAGAATCTCTCAGGATCAAAAAAGGGGTGGAGAATTGAAAATAAAAAATATACTTGAACTAGATGATGTGCAAGAGGCGGTGGGAGCTGTTCTTCAGACATTAAGATGCATGTCTTGAGTGGTGAACTTTGTCCAATGTAATCAAAACATGCCATTGCCTTTTATAATCAAAGATAACAGTGAGTACTGTGAAACTGGGAGCTTAATCAATAGGTAAAAGTAATATCTTTGTCCTTCAGAACTGATCATTGTTTGAGGGGGGAAATTAACTAATAAGCACAAATAAGTCCACACCTCAAAATCTATAAAAGTGGACAGAGTATTAATATGGAGTTGATAAGTCATGATAACCACCTCATGTAAGTATACACTTCAAATCAGAAACAAGATTCTAAATCAACACCACAATTTTTAAAAGCCAAAACACAATTGTCAATGAAGCTTCAATACTAATCATAGTTTCTTGAGTTGGAAGATCAACTATGAAGTACATATAAGTCCCAAACCTTAAAAACTATAAAAGTGGACAGAGCATTAATTTGGTATTGGCAAGTCTCGAAACCTACTTCATGTTAGGATACAAATCAAATCAGAAACTAGATTCTAAATCACAGCACAATTTTTAAAAGCCCAAACACAATTGTCAATGCAACTTCAATACTCTTCACTCCGTCACAACTTGTAGCATATTTTATAAGATTACTGTTTTTCTTCTTTTCACAATCAAGCAGAATATCTTAATACTTGAATTTTAATTTAATTCAAGGAGAAGACATCTTCCCTTACCCCAATCAAACAGTTCACGTGAAATCAAACCAGTTTATAAGTAATCACCAACAGTTCCCATTCAAATACAAAATCATTAAAAGGTATCCACTACTAACCATCAGAACTATAGCCGATGTGACTAAGAGGAGGAATGACAGCTTCCCTTCTTATATCAAACATTCTAAACTTTGTGTGATATCCAACCAAACTTGGTCAGCAGAGAATCTATCTCAAAAATCTGTCAATGGCGTAAGGGTTTACTTCTATTAAAGTCTTCTATTGCTGTAACTAACTTCACTAGAGCAACGAAGGCAGGTCCCAGGAGAGATTGCATTATAAACATATAAGCACTAAGTAAGCAACAGTTGCTAAAGAACGAATGCTCCACATACATTCGATTTTATAGATGTATCTAAGGCACTTTTTCCAGCATTGATCTCCCAAAAATGCTTGATACATTGATGTGATAAGTTAGAATTCATTAAATATTTGAAATAGAAGTAGGATTCCAAATCAAAAACAGAAACTGGCAGTCAAATTGAAACCTTGTTACACAAAATAAAAGAATTACATACGTTCAGAGCTTACCTGTCGATAAAAACCAATATCTTGAGTGAGTATATTTGGAGCGGTACACAGATGCTATAACTGGGATAGCTAGAGGCAGAATCAATTGGAACACCATGGATAACCGAATATCATTATAAATTCTGCAACCAACTAGCAGACAGCATTCAGCATAAACTTGGTTACAGTTACATCACCTTGACTTGATGAATAAGAATTCCAAGATAGAATAAGCATGAGATTGAAAATAAATAAAAAACAAACTAACCGTTCATAAACTACACAAAGAAGGGCAGCAACAATGAGTGCAAACATACAACACAACCCAATTCTCTGGCCGAGTCTCTCAGCAACCAAACTAGACAAAAGCGAGGAGAAGGCCACCATCATCTGCCATTGACAAAACCAGTTAGCTTCTTAATGAAAAAAGAGAGAGAGAATAAGCAGTGCTTCCACTTGATTGCAACTAGCAAGAAGAGTGTTAAGATGTGTTAGTTTAATCAGAAAGCCTTGCATCGCACACAGTCAATCATGCAGTTCGAAAATGTCTAATCAATTGGAGGATAGAAAAGGATAAGAATCACAGAATAAACATAGACGGCTTGTAACACTAACCGGTAAAGTGTCCCACAACACACGATGATCATCGGGTTTCAAATGGTAATAAGCAGAGCCAAAAGCCACCCCTGCTATTCCAGCGTAGAACAGCACCCAACCCCAGACCTCTCCTTGAGAACTACAACAAACAAACAATGCCAGTTAACAGTTCAAAACACCTCGTGTTAGGAATTCGTCAATTTCGTTAGAATGATCACAGGAATCAAAACCTTATGTTGAAGAAACCTCCTTCAAGAGCGAGAACAAAACCCAGAACACCCACAACTAAAAATGGTAAATTTGTCATCACATTCAGCGTATTGGGTACACCTGTGTAAGCCAAAATCATTAAAAGATCGATCGAGCAACTAAAATTATAATTTCGTAGAGAACGTGCGTGGTTACCGAAAAGATTGCGCATGTCAACAAATTGATGGTGTTTGGGAGAACGAGGGATTCTGGGAGTGAACAAGAGGAAGCACATACAGCAGAGTAATGCTGCTCCCAATATACGACTTCTCTTCCATCTTCTGCATTGTTGATTCGCCACCCAACCCATCACTCTCCTCTTTCACACTCACTTTGCGTTTTACTGCTCTCTTTTTTTCAAAAAAAATAAAAAGAAGAAGCTTTAAATGTTTGGAAAAAGTGTCCCTTTCTGTCTCGACACCGAACACACAACAGCGTCCCTCCACGAAAATGAAATTTGTCGTTGAGAGGTTTTGGGTTTGGTTTTGATTTTGATTTGACTTCCCAGTTACTTCGGATACAAATAAAAGAAAGTTGCTTTTCTTGTTTCGTTTGGTCGTGTTGGATGGACCCATTATCAAGAGTTTTGATTTAGTTAGGCCCCACGTGAGCCTCGTCGATGAAATCAACGTTGTATAACGTAACAGTTATGCCTTTCTTAATTTCTTTTCTGCGTAGCGACAGAGGTGACGTGTCAACGAATCCAGCCGAGTCATTCGTTAATGGAGCGGAGCCCATTTTATAAACCAAATGAACTGAATCTAAGATTCAAATTGCAGTTCATTATTTTTCAGTTACAATAATAGCCCTCGGCTCACTCAGCAAACAAAGAAATGGCCCTCACATTTTGGTTCACGACACGAGGCTACTCCTAATAATTTTAGTTGTTATTGTAAACTACCAAAAAATAAAATCCTAATCGAAAATACATTTTTTTACATGAAATAAATAACTAAGCTGTATTTGTAGCCTTTATTAATTCTTTTATGTAATGAGTAAATCATATGATGATTTTCTTGTAATCTAATGGTTTGTTTGACGGAATAAGTATTTAATGATAAATTTATTTCGTATTTCAACCAAATTATCAGGTAACTTAGATGTAAATCATGTAATATAAAATAGTAATAATAAAAAATAAATATTAGTTATATTAATTTTTTAAGTTAAAAATTATCAGCTGTCTATTTATTTATTTTTATTTTAGATGGATTAGACATCAGTGTCTCACCAGGATCAGGGTAGACCTCTCAACCTCTTTGAAAATTTCTGAAAAGAATTATAGATCACCCACCAACAAGGTCCTTATATCAGTGAGCAAGATTCGAACTCACATTTTTATAAAGTACGAGTCAAATCTTTAACCAATTGTATCCGCTGTTATTAACGTCAGCCGCCTATTTAACATTATTCACACACTGAATATTGCATTATTTGGGGCCAGCATGACTATAGTAAAAAAGTCACAACGGATTAAGATATGTAATTGTACCGTTGCGAACTATAAGCCGACTATGTTCCCGTTTGGGATAGAGTCACTATATGGGTTATACCTCTAGCACAGGTAAAGACCAAGCTAGGTGATATAGTCCCAAGTATGAAGCTAATAGATAACAATGGAGATTGGGTATGTGTGTGTATGACTCAAAGAAAATGGGCAGAATAACGATACATAAGATGTCTTCCCTCTGTATTCAGAGAGGTATTTATAGGTGAAGGTCATGTTGGTCTTCTGTGGGTTGGTGAGAAGAGGGTCAACTCTTCTTGGGTTTCGCCAAAGGTGACAGACGCTGCTAAGGATGGCAGACACTGCTAAGGGCGGCAGGTGCTACTGTGGTTGCAGCGATGCACTCTCTGTGACTTGCGGTGTCAGCATGTGACAAAGGGGCAATTACCTCTTATGGCATCTGAGGAGGTCTCATTGGGAGTTATAATCCCAAGATGAGACATTTTGGTGTCTCACCTAAGGAGCACCATCGTATTGGGGGTTGTTGATGAACCCTTAGTTCATCAGGTTTTTGAGCACGAATTAGTATAAATTTGTGTGATTAAATGGATGAAAAAGAGGTTAATGTCCTAGAAAGTCCTAAATACAAGTTCTGGAAGTTGTATTGAAAATTTACATTGTTCTTATAGGGAATTGAAGCTCAAAGAAGCAAAAGAGAGAAGGAAGAAGATTCTGAAAATTGGAAAATTCTAAGTGTTGGGCGCTAAAACGCCCAAAACTGAGCGTTTTAGCGCCCTGCTGCACAAAAGATGCTGGTGCTGAACATTAAAACGGTCAAAACTGAGCGTTTTAGCGCCCTGCTGCACAAAAGATGCTGGCGCTAAACATTAAAACGGCCAAATCTGGGCATTTTAGCGCCCAAGACAGTTAAAAGTAGTTGGGCATCCGTCAAAGTTGGACGCTAAAACGTCCATAAGTGAACGTTTTAGCGCCCATGTCAATTTTCAGTTGTAATTTGTAAATTATAAAAGGACAAGGGGCCTTCACAAGATGATCATCAGATGCAACTCTCTCCTATCCATTTTGACTTTCCCCATCACACTAGGAGAAGGGAGATTAGGTCAGATCCTTCATAGATCTGATCTGACTCCTCATTTTCTCTGACTTTCCAAATTCTTAGGACTTAATATTGTAATAGTTAGTATACTTTCATGTAATTGTACTTGAAGATTGAAGACTCAACTATCATGACAATGGAGTTTGATCTTTCTTCTTCTTCTCTTGTTATTATTTGTATTATGTTTGAGTAGAGTCCTTTGTAGTCTGATTCAATGGAACTCAAGTTTGAATTTATGAATGGTTAATTAGATGTTTTGTTTATCTATTATGTGATTGTATGAAGTTGCCTTGATTAATTCTTCATGTTGAGGAATAGTGTAGAACAGACATGTTTACATTGTTTCTCTATTTTTGACAACTTCATCATCAGTGTTCTAGTAGTCAAGGGATTGATGCTAGGATTCTGATGTGATCTTAAGACCTTAGTAATTAATGCATGTATTAAGAAAGGAATCACCAAGGGATTGGGGTTTCTGATTAATGTGTCTATCAGGGTAGTAAGGGATTACATCTTGAGATGATAAGAAAAAGGTTGATCAACATCACATAGTAGATAATTCATAATGGAAATTGGTTCATCCATAAATTCATGTTTGAGGGAAAATGACATCTGACTACTTGTTTAAATTATAAGTACATTTTATTTGTTTTATCAAATCTTAATTTTATGCAATTCAACTTTATTTCTGGTGACAAGAAATCAAGCAATCAATGATCTTTTGGTTGATTCAACTCAAATACATATGGCTAGTCAGTGCTTGACACAAATCCTCGTGGGAACGATCTTTACTCATCATTTTATTACTTGTACGACTAGTACACTTGCTAGATACGCAACAGTTGTGAAGCTGAAGGTTGGTAGGGCTGACGTGGACATGGATTTGGGCTCTCACCGTTGGGCCACTATGTTGTTGGGCCATCCGGAACATAAGCCCCACAGCTTGGTAGCAAGCGTAGTTTGGTGTCAAGGTAAATGGTCTTGGTTGACTCTCTCTGGCTGGCGATCTGAGTGGCTGGTATGGCATCTGAGGAGGTCTCATTGGGAGTTATAATCCCAAGATGAGACATTTTGGTGTCTCACCTAGGGAGCACCATCGTATTGGGGGTTGTGAAGCTGAAGGTTGGTAGGGATGACGTGGACATAGATTTGGGCTTTCACCGTTGGGCCACTATGTTGTTGGGCCATCCGGAACATAAGCCCCCCAGCTTGGTAGCAAGCGTAGTTTGGTGCCAAGGTAAATGGTCTTGGTTGACTCTCTCTGGCTGGCGATCTGAGTGGCTGGTATGGCGGGATGAGGGGTCGCCCAGCCTCTCGGTGAACATCTGGTGTCTTGTACGTTTGGCTCTTGGGCGACACTCTCTAGCTGGCGATCTGAGCGGTTGGTATTGTGGTTTGCGGAGTGCTTTTTAGGTCGTCCACCTGTCTCTGATAGGAAAGGTGGCTTTTCAGTTTTCGAGGGGCAGTAATGATGGGTGCGTCCATCATTGCAATTAAATGCAGGCACTCAAACGTCACGAAGCACGACGCATTAATGCGATGTGAAGGGTGTCTTGTCCCCCTGCAATTACCATAGGGTCCTTCATCACAACCGCTTATTATTCGACGGTTGTACCATCCTACTGTCAGAGTCATGTGGTGGTACACGTGTACGCCATCCTTATCCCTTTGGCCCTATTTAAAGGGGGGTTTTCCCTCCACGAAACTTTCTTCACTAGTTTCTGGCTCTTGGTGTTCTTGCTTTCTTCTTCCTGATTTTCTCCCTTCTGTGTGAGTGCTTGCATTGGTCCTCTTCCCTTCCATTCTTCCTTTTTCTGCGGTCTTCGATATCTCAAGTACAGTGTTTCTAGCTTGTAACTTTGGTATTTCTTTGTTTTTCTTTGGCTTTGCTTATCTTCTCTTCTTTCTCGTGATGGTCGAGTTGAAAGATTTGACTGGTTTGGTCTTGCCTGAGTTGGGGGTGGATGTTAAAGAGGAGGAGTTCGATGAAGCTTTTGACACGGGCGATGATTGTGTTGTGGGGCCGGCTATGCGAGAGTTCCTCGCTGGTCGTGGTGGAGGAGGTAGTAGTGTCCCTCCTATGCGGAACAGTAATTAACTAGTAAGTTAGATATCTTAGAACAGTGATCAACAATTTTCTTCGACTTTCAAATAACTATGTGGACAGATCAGGACACAGCCAAAAGCGCTCCTTCAAAACACAAAACAACACTAGACATAAAAGAAAAGATACATTTTATATTTACTTTATGGAGTGAACTCTAACTATTCAACATACAAGATTAAGCATAAATGAATTTCGCAACAGGAAGGGACACATGTTGGAGAAAGAAATAACATAAAGAAAGGTTTTCCAACATCCACATGCAGCAGCAGTGGAGACACAGCTAAGTAATATATACACACAATCTTAATAGTGCAGCAGTAGAGACAGAGGAATAAAACACTAATTCTACAAGGATCAACCCACAAATCAACAAAATATGTAGATCATGGGACCCAATCAAGTACTATTTGGCTGTATATCTCATCGAGGGACGACTCTGGCTCTTCATGATGGATTTGCCTAACACCGTTATCTTCTTTTTGTTCATCGGTTTCCACCACTGCTATGTCGTTCAAATGATATTTCTCTGGTTCATGAGTTTAATCATTTCATCATTGGTAACTCCATAAGAAATGAATTGTTCGCTTTCGCATGCTCACACATCCAGATGGGAGTGCAATTTAGATTTGCCAAGATCGA